TAATTAGATTTGAGAAATCATACACCTAATTTATATTCTATTAATAGATGTATTCTTTCTACCTATAATTCTATCTATATATACATTCTCCTCAAGAACAACCCAGAATTCCCGTTTTCTGATATTCATATTCCTTTTTGTTTTTTCGTTCAATCCGTGACAATGACCATCCATCCACTGTCGATGATCACTCCAAGCAGTGAATGTTGGAGGATCATGGTTCGTTTTGTACGATTGTATACTTTACCCGCTTATAATGATGGGAGGACTACAAATTCCATTGAAATGGTGTTCATGGATGAACATGTATGTCACCTTCTCTTGATTCATCATATTCCTTCTCATTTTTTTTGTTATACATTATATTACTTCTAATATTCTATATAGGTTTTTCCGTGTGGTATTACTGGCATGTTTTTAGTGTGGTTCTATTTTTTTTGGATTATAAGCCTGCCAGTGTGGCTTTTTTTTGTTAGTGGCATTAATGAGATGTTGTTAGTGTGGCATATTGTTAGTGTGGTTGTGTTTGTTATTGTCGCATCGAGGTACGCTTTGATGACCCGAATACTTATTTCTTATTCAAGGTAATGCATTATGATTTTTTCAATTGTAAATGTCTCTACCATGGCTTGCTACCCTGTCAGCATCTCTCTTCCTTTCTATCCTGAAACAGTGAATTAATGGCATGTTGTTAAATAAGCGGATGTTTTTGTTAGTGGCATTAATGGCATGTTGTTAGTGTGTCATATTGTTAGTGTGGTATTACTGGCATATTTTTAGTGGCATATTCTTAGAGTGGCATATTGTTAGTGTGGTTGTATTTCTTATTGTGGCATATTGTTGGTGTGGCATGTGAAAGCATTGTTAAGAAATTGTATGCCTGAGGTGGGTTTACTAATTTCAATATACTTAAACTGTGGTTAAGAAAACAGAGTGGTTGTTAAGAAAACAGTGTGGTTGTATGCCTGAGGTGGGTTTACTGATTTCAATGTACTTAAACTGTGGTTATGGAAACATTGTTAAGAAGACAGTGTTACTGATTTCAAAGCATTGTTAAGAAAACAGTGTGGTTGTGTTTGTTAGTGGAGTTAGTGGCATTTGGTATTAATAAACCTTTTTAATTAGCTACTGTGGGTTTAGTGAGGTGTATGGACAGTTTAAGTATATTGAAATCTGTGACCGTAACGGTTTAAGTCCTAAGCAGCCTGTGTGCATCCTTGAAGACAGCCTTGCTGCTGCCTGTTTACTTGGTTTATGATAAAGATGTTTTGTTGTTGCTTTTTTTGTTATTATTTTCAGATTTATTTTTGTTTCTTAGCAGGTGGGTTTGGTGAGGTGTACTGACTCAGTAATATTAACTGTGAAGTGAGTACTTCATTTAGTTTTAGTAATATTAAACTGTCCGGAGA